GGGGGGGGGGGAGCGGCGGGAACGGGAGTGCGATATCCGCCAGGGGCAGATATATTTCTACTTAGAGAATTAAATGACGCAGCAGAATAGATCTGTTACCGAAGTGTTCGATAGATGGCATGAGATACGCTGTTCCATGACATCACACAGGCGCACCAATCTCGCTAACATGTCAAATCGAACACAGAGCCATCACAACAAAATGGTTGCTCTCTACAACAGCCACTTCTGCCCTTTTATCCAGACTTCGGATATGGGTGCTCTTTCCTTCTCAGACGCGTCCATTTTACGTGTGTCGCCTAGCAACAAAGCCTCTGGATCCCTCCCCTCATTCTGTGCTCGGCCGAGACTTCAGCAATCCTGGTTGCGGATTTGTGGCCTTCCTCGGGCTCTCCGGGTAAATTCCTACAGTTTCTCGAGTGAACCACGGCCGCTTCCTTCCAGACCCTGTCCAATAACCCAATTATCAACGTCACGATCCATGCGTCGCTATCGCTCCCTTTCCGATCCCCGCCCCCGGGACGCAAACAAACCCACGATCAACACACGCAATACTTACGTCACGTCCCTCGGGCTGGCCCTCCAGTCAGTTCATTTGTGCAGCTACTCAAGAACTTCCCAGCATTTTATGGAACTCGAAGGTTCATTACAGTTTTCACAACAGCCCTCAACAGGTTCATATCCTCAGCCAGATCAATCAAATCCATACCACCCCATCCTATCTCTCTAAGATCAATTTTTAATATTATCCACCCACCTACTTCTTCGTCTTCCCAGTGGTCTATTTCCTTCTGGCCTTCCTACCAATAACCTATACGCATTACCCTTCTCCCCGTGCGTGTTACCTGCTCCGCCCATCTCATCCTCCTTCACGTTATCATTCTAATTACACTTGGAGAAGAGTACAAGTTATGAAGCTCCTCATTATGCAGTTTTCTCCAACCTCCTGTCACTTCATCTCTCTTCGGTCCAAATATTCTCAACACCCTCAGTCTATGTTCCTGCCTTAATGTCAGAGACCAAGTTTCATACCCATACAGAACCACAGGCAAAATTATAGTTTTGTATATTCCAATTTGTTTACGTTTTTTTTGACAGCAGACCAGAACACTGGACTGAATGGTAGCAAGCATTACCAGAGTTCAGTACCTTCTTAATTTCCTCCTGAATCAAACTGTATTATTATTAAGAAAAAACTCAAAACTTTGCATATTCTGTGTGAGTGAACCAGAAGATGCATTGATCTTGGCCTGGAGACAGCTCCCGCCCCACCTTTCTCCTGGTGAAAGTAATCTTGACCGAGTAACACTGACACAGCCGATGCGCGTCACGGGGCTACCAAGAACAGTGCCACCAGCGTTGCGATTGCTAGGAAACCATTCCAAGTGCAATGCATAAAGCGATCAATGTCAACTGCTCTCCCATCGCTAGGCAACTACGTAACGTTTAATACATAAAGCGCTCCAACTGATACCTACTTGCCTAATCATATATCCCACAGCGGTTAATTACAGGGAAAGTTGCTAGTTGCCAAACCCCTTGGCTTTTATTGCATGACACGCAACAATATGTCCATGCTTGTTTCAAGCAATGCATCAACCTCAATATCTCCGTTAACCCTTTAAAGCATAATGGTAACTATATGAACCACATGCTTCAGCAACAGAAAGTTCCGTACTCTGTTCACACAGTGTATTTATGTGTTCCGTATGGTTCTCACAGCAAACAGCGATTATTTCCCTAAACAGCATTAACCGGTTGGGCGTTGTTATGAAGACGGAGTGTGTTCCCTGTGAGGTACGGACTTCAAGATACTAAAACTCTGCATTCTGCCCACACAGTGTATTTGTGTGTTCCGTATGGTTCTCACAGTAAACAGCGATTATTTCCCTAAACAACATTAACCGGTTGGGCGTTGTTATGGAGACGGAGTGTTTTTCCTATGAGGTACGAACTGACTTGTATTAAATGGGAACAAAAATATGGTCATGGATGCTGTCGGGCCCCGAAACGAGGAATGTCTCTGCTGGCGAACTGCTTTTCTTATTCGCAGTGGGAACTTGTGTGCAGCGTAGCTACAGTTGCCTGACCAGTACTGAGTCCAGCATGAGCAGCGTCCCAGTCACAAGGTGCCAATATGTTATTCTACTATATGTAGGCTTGCGAGATAGGGCGCGCGTAAGGCCCATTGCGGTATCTTCGTGGGGTCGCGTATGTAAGGCTCATCCGCTGCGCAAAATGTGTGGCTGTCGGGCAGAATTGGCAACGCTCGGGCGATCATGGGTCCTTACGTAACCAGCGGAGACCGCCAGCCGGCGTTGCCGGGCCGCGTGGCACGCAAGTGACACTTGCAACGTTGATCATGATATTTGTGGTAGCTAGTCCAGCGTCGAATGGTAGGATGAATAATGAATAGGAATGGATTGGGAAGGAAGCGGCCTCATTTGTTGTAGGCTGCAATCGCGGAATATGCCAGGTGGGACAGGGAAATCAAGAATCTCTTGTCAGGATAGTTTGTGTCCCGTCCAGGACTCGAACCGAGCACTTGCCGAATACGAGTTAGGATCGTATCCGCTACACCATCCTGCCCGGTTATTATTATTATTATTATTATTAGTAGTAGTAGTAGTAGTAGTAGTAGTAGTAGTAGTAGGATCTAGAAAACCGAAATTAACGGCCGTGGGGATTCGTTGCACTGACCACGCGACACCATCAATCCGCAAAAGTTGGCACTAAACTTCGCCGACAATCGTCGGTCGCTCGGTCGGTATAGTTCGCCTGCGGATTAAAGTCACGGAGTAATAGTAGTAGAATTAAAATCATACGACTGGCACCAAGCCCCTTGAGGTCACGACCAGAGGGAATGCCTTTATTCAACAGAACCCTTGCGGTCGTAGCTCTTATGTAACATCCTCTCTCACGAGAAGATGGATTCCTCTCTTATGAATGATCTCTGCCTTTGCATGGGTCTTCATATAAGTAATATGTACATACTCAGTTCATACCTCACAGGAAACACACCCTATCTCCATAACAACGTCCAACCGGTTAATGCTGTTTAGGGAAATAATCGATGTTTACTGTGAGAACCATACAGAACACACAAATACACTGTGTGGGCAGAATGCAGAGTTTTAGTATCTTGAAGTCCGTACCTCACAGGAAACACACTCCGTCTCCATAGCAACGCCCAACCGGTTAATGCTATTTAGGGAAATAATCGCTGTTTGTTGTGAGAACCATACGGAACACATAAATACGCTGTGTGAGCAGAATACGGACAAGGTTACGCAAGTGGTATGTATAGTAACCACTGTTCTATGAAGGGTTAAGGAAAGAAACCCGACTAACAGAACAAGCATGGAGAGGTTTAGAATCCGTTTCTTAAAAGTTATCCCTGTATCAGGCAGTGGAGGCTCCCACATTTTCTAGACAATCGGCTCACAGATGGCGGTGAGGTCAGTCTTACGCGCCGGCCGCCCTTTACCTCCAGCAAGATTCCTATTAGAGGCTCAGCCATATTGTGGCTGGAATGATTCAGTCAACTGAAAAATCAAATGACCTTATCGGGAATTGAACCCGCGACCTCCTGGCTTGTAGCAGAATATCCGCCGCTTAACTACTGTTAACTTCTGGTGTGCTACACAGACCGTACGGATATTTGTACGCGTTCACAGGAGGAAATGTTTTACTTTCACAAAATTCCATATTTATACGAAGTGTTAATTTGAGCAGCAGGAATAAACTGTGCCCAAAACATCTCTGACGTTACGTCATCATCAGATACTGACAGAGATCACAGCTCGCCACATTCTGTGGGCTTCCTACTCTATAGGTATGATGCACCCTCGGCAGACATCAATACCGACAGAGCAAAGGGCCAATTTTCCTCATTACGCACTGCATGGCCTTCAACGGCGCCTTTATCACGGCAAACCAAACAACAGAAATGCCAGATAATACGGCGATAAGTCTGCATGCCTGTTTCTAGACGAAGCTAAGTAGCGCTTGATTTGAGGCCCGAAACAGGCCAACCGAAGTCATACAGGGACGGGGACTTTTATTTGTCCGCCATGGACACCTCGCAGGTCGCCTCATCATCAGAGAGTGAAGGACGCTGTGACTCCATCTGATTCCAAAACCCGATGGTCATCAAATTCCCCAAACCGGAGATCTCGGACTTGAAATGTGAGGTGTTTTGGGTGAATTTTAGTTGGTCTCTGTACTACACGCAGGTGGGGCAAGCCCAACCCCAAGCCCGCAGTTCCTACAAATGTTACAGACTTAGCGAGGCTGCTAACTTCTACTTTTATGCAACCCCAAGGTTGTCTTTATTTTCCTTTATTTTCGTTACACTATTAGGCCCTAACCGTCTTCCCTTTCAACTCCTTTGCAGGCCTGCTGAAGCAGGATGTGCTGGCGAGGACCAGCAAAAATTTACCCGATCCTACCACAGCGGCTGGAGGCATCACCTTCTATAAGTACGCCCTACCTTGAGGTCCTTGAAGAAGACGGAGTTGCGTGCCCAGTCCACCTGTGAGAAGAGGTTCTGGTCCAGCACTTTGCACATAAGTTCAAACAAATCCACCTCGCACTGGTTGTACGTCTGGTTCTGCAGCAGTTCGTACAGCGACTTCTGCCACTCTCGGTCGTCAACTGTCTGTACAAAGTCCCGTAAGACGGGCGAGAACTTGACCGACGTGCCCGTCGTGGTGCCGGCGCCAGCATTCGCCGCTGACGCCGTGCTTCCAGAACTGGCGCCGTTCGGTAACACTCCGTCGAAGGGGAAGGATTTCGGTGAGAGGGAGCGGGGGGAAGGCGTCGTGGGGTTTGATGTGGCCCAGAGCTTCGTGTCTAGGCCGCCGACGACGAGAGCCCCAGTGGTCGGGGTGCTGGTTTGTCCGCTACAGCTGCCCGCAATGTGCAGTGTGGGCTGCTGGCCGGCGACACGAGACGCGCCGGCGATGGGGGCGTTGACCTGACTGAGCGCCGCGGCGTTGGGGCTCGGCGAGGAGTCTGGTGACGACGTGACGGACGACACGTGAGGAATCTGGATCTCCTCCTTGATGTGCAGGTTCGGGAAGGGCGAGGCGCCCGCCGCCACCTGCTGGGAGCCGTAGCTGACGGTGACGCCCTCGGCCATGTGGTGGGACCCCCGGATCGTCTGCACCGCGATCTGCCTCTGGCGCATCATCTGCAGCTTCCGGGCCCGGTCCCGCTTGTACATGGGGCCGAACTTGTTCCTGCCTCCTCGCATCCGATCGGCCCGAACGGCTGTGGACACAGACACAGACAGTCAGTGGAGCAGCGCTGTAGGCCGAACAGGGATCACGTGATCAGAATGATCAGCAGGGCATGCAGGACGAATGGGGAGAGGAGGAATACGTGTAGGATTTTCGCGTGAAAGGCAGAAGGAAAGAGGTCACTAGGAAAACCTAGACGTAGGTTGGTATATATTATTAATATGGATCTTAGATATGATGGGGGTTCCATAAAATGCCGGGAAGTTCTTGAGTAGCTGCACAACTCGCGGCTTATCTAGAAGGGTTCAGGCGTATGGCATTATGTTGCTGTCCGTGGAGGGGGTGAAGCCAGTGTTTCAGAGGAACATGCTGCCTCTGTGTTCACGGCTGGCACAGTATAATCTGGTATATATGTACTAACTTTTCGGGATAACACATTTCCTCCGTCTTCAGGGTTGTCACTATATTATCTGGTAAGTGGGTACAGACGTTTCCGAGGACAGGCAGCTCTTCTCCAGGCCGTTACAATTCGGCGCTTCGCGACACAGCACAGCCCTCGAGTTAGCTGCAGCGAGGCCTCATTCTTTCCAATTCACTGCTCACACGGATTTATGGTTCATTTTAAGGCGACACTACTCGGATGATACAGAGTCGAATGGCAGGACTCGTGAATGAATTGGCAAAGGATTTGGAAGGAAGCGGTTGTGATCTAATCTGAGGCAGTAACGACGCATTACTGTGGAAGGGCTAAGATATACCGAGATACTCGACCCGAGCCTGAAGGGACTGAAGAAAACCACGAAAACCCTCAGAACAGTTGGTGTCCCTGTCCAGATTCTAGATTCTAGACAGTGTCTAGAGTGCTACCGCCACGCCAACCTGCTCCCGCCTGGGGTACTGTCAGCCAATGAGCATTGCATCACTGCATGACTAAAGCAGCTTTGAGAAGCAGGGATAGCTCAGTCGGTAAAGAGACGGGCTGCATGTGGACGGCTGGGAATCGAGTTCCGGCAGGGGCAAGAGATCCCTGGGGGGAGGGGGAAGAGGCCAAGGCGTGAAACTGATCACCTCCATCCAGAGCTCAGGTTAAAAATGGTGGAGCTATACACCCACTCCGCCATGCGTCTTCATGGCGCTGCGCTTATTTCACTATGCACAGGGACAACTTTACCTTTCCCCAAGAACATCGCTGAGAGTACGTTACGCACTGACTGATCTGGGAACCTTACCAATTTACTGGATCCAGTAACTTTCTAATGACGCCGCACGGTCTGTATCACTATCTGACAACGATGCGTCTTCGAAGACGTTTCGCAGGCAGATGGTTTGGCTCAGAACGGTGGACCATGCATCCCCCTTTCCATGATGGGCAGGAAGGGGAGGGGGGCGCATGCACTGGCACTGGCCCTGACCCACATGTCTGGGAGGGAGCAGCTCGGGGCCACTCGCCCGTCCCCTTCAAACCTGGCTTCTGCACACAGAGGTCCCCACTGCCGTGCCGGGGGAAAACCACGATAAATCTCTGCGACTAGAGACAAGTCTCGGAGCTGAGACTGGAACCACGGACCTCCCCAATACAAGCCACACACATTTGGGCTTAAGCCAACTTTTCCGAAGGATCAGTGATTCCACTACAGGCCTACCAACCTTCGGCAATACAAGGAGAAGGTCCAAAGCTTCGATTTCGGAAAAGTACACACGCATTAGAATTCAACAGCTGTCGGCAGTAGAAGCTGATGAGGAGGCCAATCGCCTGAAGTATGCCGTCTCGTGTTGACTCCTCGCTCGCGGATTGTTCCACCCTGAAGATGGAGGCAATACGTTTATCCGAAACGTCGGTTCACAAGATCTACACAGCGCCACATCCCAGAAGACGGCATTCTTCACAGTCACCGCCGTGAAAACATCAAATCTTACTAGACCCAATTCTTCCTCTGAAGAAGAAAAGAGGAAGAAGAAGTGGGGGGTTGTGGTAAGAAACTATATCTCCGATTTTTAAGGTTCCCAGGCAGTACCCGCTTGTCCTCAAATCTTACAACTAATCGCCTATTTTCCTTTCGATACGACACGGACTGCACAGAGAACGACAAAATTGGAGGGGATAGAAAGACACCGTATATACATACAACAATGCGAATAACACGCACAAATAATCGTAAACCATGTCGTCTATACACCGCACTATATGTACTTCACGCGGATATACTAGGAAAAACACTGCCCCTTCGTTTGTAAGAAACTACATATCTCNTGAGAATTCAACGGAAAGTCTCCTTTGTTATGTAAACTTACGGACTATTAACCTTCCCCGATTTCTCCCAGCCCTTACGTGTTGTCGAAAGATGCGTCGGAGCCCACACTTACCGCCATCCACCACGAATAACACGCACAAATAATCGTAAACCATGTCGTCTATACACCGCACTATATGTACTTCACGCGGATATACTAGGAAAAACACTGCCCCTTCGTTTGTAAGAAACTACATATCTCGTGCTCACGCAACTTGTTGACCCTACATCAGTCGCTGCTATGGTAATGCGAGATTGCGTAATCCCTGCCGTGTTATCTCACCGTTATATGTAAATATACTGTACATAGTGATGCATACGGATCTGTTAACATTAAAGGCTAAAATATACATAGGTGGCTGTTCGTCGGCATGGCAACATACCGCTTCTATTTTTGAGAAGAAAAAAAAACGAATTTGTTAACTAGAACTGTTCAGGAACAGCGGAACGCATGCGGACCAGAACGAGCTATGTCCAGCGCAACATTAGCTAATTCTCACACACATGTCTTCTCGTAACGTCTTAGCTTTCCCGTTCGAAGCCTCAAATAGTCAAAGTTATGTTAAGATGGACGGTCAGTCGGCCAGTCACTCTTCGTGTCAAGCCCCATCTGGGGCCCAAGACTAGATTTTTATTACTGTCACACAGTTGAGAGTTTTTTGATGTGGGGCGCCCTCTCTAATGAGAGGATGGGTCCGTCGTTTACAACTGCTGCTGGTCATCGACAGCGCAGTCATTCTCGGGTCCGAGGCCCGAGGAACGCATGACCATGTTTCAGCTTCGAGACTCCACAAACCTGGAGTGCCAGGTCCCCGTATTTACATCCCCCAGGGACAGGGTGGCCCAGTTATAGCCCCAGGCACTGGGTTCCCTTTTAGTATTCGTATTCGAACCGGCCTCCACACGGGGATTGAAGTCTGAAGCTCATCTACATAATATTTAGTAGTGCAGACCGTACCTCACAGGAAACACACTCCGTCTTCACGACAACGTCCAACCGGTTAATGCTGTTTAGGGAAATAATCGCTGTTTACTGTGAGAACCATACGGGAGAAATAAATACACTGCGTGGGCAGAATGCAGAGTTTTAGTATCTTGAAGTCCGTCCCTCACAGGGAACACACTACGTCTCCATAGCAACGCCTAACCTGTTAACGCTGTTTTATGGAAGTGATCGCTGTTTGTTGTGAGAACCGCGTGGAACTGTGCAATGTAACACCAATGGCAGAGTCCTCTGGAACAGCCACTTGGCAAGGCGCACTGTTTATCCGAGACACTGACCTACATCACAGGTGAATCGCGGGTCAGGCGCTGTCCCCCCTTCCCCCGCAACCAATCAACTTGTCAACACTGGCCACCACCACCCCTGCCGTCCGGTGTCCCTGCAAGGACGCTTCCGAAGGCGACAACCCTCAACTCTGCTGGCACTTGTTCCCATCCCTGACTGACCTATGTCACCAGAGCTGCGACCTCTGGCGATATCACCAGCTGGTGAAACAAACATAACCTTGTGACACTTGTTTCAGCTCGGAAGGCGCATACATCACGCGTAGAGCCTGAAGGAGTCATCAGACTGATAGCTTGGTATGCAGTCTTTACGCACGGGCCTGAGCAATACTCACTAGCCTGGGTGTTCAAGGAAAGAATCCGGTGATTCACGTTAGGTCGTAAAATTTGTGAACCCTGTGAGCCTGGAGAGCGCAGTCTGTACACCGACTAGCTAAGGGCTGGACGACCAAGAGGTCGGAGTTCGAGTGAGGACGTTATTATTGAAGAATATCGTAAGAACTAGTCTACAGGTTATAGTGGACTGGGCATTCTCATCGCGACTCCTAAATACAGGTGTTGGGCCCCCCCCCCATAAAACACTTACACGAAACACCTAGACGACAGCATTAACATGGATTATAACGATGTAAACTCTGAGGACTTCACAGCGCTAAAAATTCTTATTGTGGTCTTCTGCGTTATGACACCGTGTAGTCTGGTACGTGGGTACAAAAATATCGAAGGAACACACTGCTTTCATATCAGTATAGCCTGAAGATGGAAACACTGCGTTCCTCCGAAATATTAGTATTATTTAATATACTGTATGCTGCCATTCATTCATTCATTCATTCATTAAAAAATGGCCCTAAAGCCCTTTGTTGGGCCCTGGCCTCTTCTTTAGTTTCGTAATCTTTTTTATACAGTCCGATATGACTCCTTGGACAGGGGATCGGCCCGTCGCAATGCCGTTACAAACACAGACATCCATGACTCGAGTGGGATTCGAACCCGCGATCCTAGTATTCGAGCGGGCGAAGACAGTTCATGCCTCAGACCGCGCGGCCACTGTGACCGGCGTTATATCTCAGATAATGAGGCCAAGTTTGGTTTAAATCAGTTGATACAGAACAGAGCAAACGTGACGCCTGTTTTCAGGAAATCCAACATGCCGCGCGTGATTGTGTGAGGGAAACGAGTCACCGTCACGGGCCGGTGACCCGGCGATACGGTGACTGCATTTCTCGGCCAGCTCACAGTCACAGTGGGATCTTGCGGCTTGTGACGCCGTGTATAATTCGGTGACGGAGCGTCTCGGCCTGCCATCTCGCCTTGTGTCTGCAGATTTCCTGCTTCGTTTGTCTTCGACCCTGCCTCGGAAGCGTTCGGCTCGCTCCGAGCTACAGAGCCGCATCGTGAGAACGTTCACAGTTGATACGACATCATACCACGCTCAATATCAACCCTTTCC